CGTATTAATAATGAAAAAACAGTCCTTAACAATGAAAATTTTCATATTTGTCACTACAGATTTTATTAACTACATTATAAAGAATAATATATATAAAAAATCAGTTATTTTTAGAGATTAATAATAAGCCTTTAAAATTCGCCAAAATCATGATTTTTCTGAACTTAAAAATGTATTTCTAATAAAATATTATCTTTTTCAACAAAGTATATAGAATCTTTTTTATTTGTATTAAAGTAAAGAATATGAAAAGAATTTGTTTGGTTTAAACATAACAATTTTTTAGGAATTGTTTAAACAAATTCCATTTAATCAAAATAGGACCACATTTGCAAATTGCGTTTATATATTTGGCATATTTTTAAAGGATTCTGACAAAAAAAATTGCTTCGAGATAGTTTTAGATACTTATGACAATTTCTTCTGGACTAGTCGGACATGTTCAATAACTACTTTTCCTGAAAAGACCCATCACTATTATTAGGTAATTAGGGGGGGGGGGGATAATGGGGATAATTACCCCCAAGGATTTTAAAAGCTAACTTTTCATAGGTACTAAAATGTATTAATATCAAAAATGGGGTCTTAAATATTACCACTACTCCAAGACTTTAAATTCTGGATGCGCCACTGCTTAAAATAGAACATGAAAAACAGAACAAAATACCATGCAACCTAATTTTGAGATGATTAAGCATTAAGTTATTTTAATAGAAACATTAATAGGAACATATTTGTGCTTTGGCTCCGTAAATATTAAGGACGGAATTTACAAAAAAAAAGTGTTTTATATATTAAGTTTAAAAAAAAAATGCAGAAAACCCTCGAATTTCTAAGAAAAATTAAAGCAGAGTTGTAATTTTATAGGTTATTTGCTTAATATATTGACATCGATTGTTTTAGTAAAATTTCGTGTTTAAATTTTTAAAAACTTTTAGACATTGAATAAGGATTTAATTAACGAAAAGATCCCGCACTTTCCTTATTTAAAATGGCGACCGGTCAATGGTTACATTTGACAGGATACATTTTAGAATACAAGGTATTCGCGGTTTTTGTTCTTTTTTTTATATATATCTTCTAACAAATAAATCGCCTTGTATATTTTGAAGCTTAGAGGGTGGTATTACCTTTCCGAAAAATCAATATATAAGTACAGGGTTTTCAGCTTGACAGCTGCCCCCAAGAGAGAAAAGTTTTTATCATGTGCTGTGACGTCCAAGTACTAACTTTGTATGCTCCTCTATGTATATAAATCAAGTCGTAACATTAAGTCTAATAAGCTTTTTACTTTGAAATATACATTAATTTAATTAATTTGAGACAATGATACTCTCCCCGTTGTTGGCTGGGTAAATAAATGAAGAAGACGTACAGGATTATGAATTAATCCTTTAAAAAAATTATTTTATGTAGAACAGCCCGCATAAGAAATATCTATTGTATAATATTTTGTCGCCAAAATACCCTATTGTGGAGTATTTTAAAAAAATATGCTTCCCTATTGTCACAATAAAATTAGTGAAATTTTGCAAAAAAAACCTACCAACATACATTTTTGAATCACACTGTTACTAAAAATATTTTTAATTGTACGTATGTACTAATGTATTACTAAAACATGTAGTAAACGTGTGTATTCAACAGAAATTCAATCTAGCTCGTAAGTTTGAAACTAAAAATTCCGAAAAACTAGTCAATTTTCTTTAATAGGATTGAGTAGAGCCTACTGGCAATTTTGGTTACTAGGTTGAGTACAACATACCAAAGTTTCAGAAAATTTGACCGGAATTTTTTTTTGCATTTTAATTACTAATTTCCTAGATTAGTTTTGTTTAGTGATTAGCTAATCTTAATTTGACATTGAAGGATTATTCAATACTCAAAAGAAGCACACCGATGCTAAGTTGTGTAATATTTCTTAAATAAACGAAATTCTTAAACCTTATTGCTAAGGAAATAAATATGTCTCATCTAGAAAAACGCAATGAGTACGATTCACGAGTTTTATTTTTCAAATAGCAACAATTGATACATATTTATATTAAAAGAAAGAACCCCCCATAAATCTTATGGAAATTGGCTCCGGTCAAATTGGCTGAAATTTGGTTATGTTGTTCGTTTCGGCATCCTGAGCAAAAGTCTCAATGGGCACACAGCTCAATTTTGCTTATTTTGGCTCCTACGGAGCTCCAAAGCTCCATTGATTGCCCATTATTTACTACTTAAAAAAGCAATCTCCTCGAAAGTGTAGTATTTGCTGCGTTAAAAAAAGAAGTACCTTCTTATGTTTTCGGGGTCGCTGCATTCAAATTCAATGCCAATATAATAATATTGACAGTTGACAGCTGTCAACTAGCTGTTAAGCAACAAGCAATAATCAAAATTGATAAAATACACATGTAAATATCTGTTTTTGAGGTTGGTAAGTTCAAAACTGATGTTAACAACTCGATATTGACAGTTGAAAGCTGTCAACTAACTGTCAAACAGTATGTGACAATCAAAATTTACAAAATGAGGGAGTAAATAGATGTCTTCGAGGTTGCTGAGTTCAGAACTGATGGTAAAAAATCGATATTCACATTTTGCAGCTGTCAAATAACTGTCAAGCCACAGGCATGAATCAAAATTGATAAAATACACATGTTAATATCTGTTTTTTAGGTTGGTAACTTCAAAACTGATGTTAGCAACTGGATATTGTTAGTTGACAGATGTCAACTGTCAAACAGTATGTAACAATTGAAGTTGATAAAATTGAGATGAAACCATATGTCTTTAAGGTTGCCTAATTGTAATCTGATGCCAAAAAGACGATATTGACAGTTGAATACTATCGTTAATTAAATATTTGAATGTTTATGATAATGTGTCAAGATAGAGGAACAATGAGGCGGCAGCAAGCTAGCTTCACTTGTTTTTAAAATATCGTTTTATTACCTTCAGTTTTGAATTTAACGATCTCAAAAACATACGTTTACATGTGGATTTTATTAATTTTGATTGTCACATGCTGTTTGACAGTTAGTGACAGTTGATCACTATCAATATCGTCTTTCTGACATCAATTTTGAACTCAGCAACCTCGGGGACATCTATTTACTCCTGATTTTTGTCAATTTTGATTGTCACATACTGTTTTACAGTTAGTTGACGGCTGTCAACTCTCAATATCGAGTTGATAACATCAGTTTTGAACTCAGCTGCTTCAAAAACAGATATTTACATGTGGATTTTCAATTTTAATTATTGCTTGTTGTTTGACAGCTAGTTGACAGCTGTCAACTGTCAATTATATTATATTGGCATTGGATTTGAATGCAGCGACCCCGAAAACATAGGAAGGTACTTCTTTTTTAACGCAGCAAATACTAAACTTTTTAAGTAGTAAATAATGGTAAAACCGTGGAGCTTTGGAGCTCCGTAGGAGCCAAAATAAGCAAAATTGAGCTTTGTGCCCATTGAGACTTTTGCTCAGGATGCCGAAATGAACAACATATCCAAATTTCAGCCAATTTGACCGGGGGCCAATTTCGATAAGATTTGTGCGGGGTTCTTTGTTTGTCCATATTGCTTATTAATATGTCAGCCAATCAACTTTATACATGGCGTCATAGATTTTTTTTTTGTATGAAATGATTTATGTTAATAAAAAAACGGCATTAATTCGTATCATTTGTCACTTTTGGTAACGCTGTTTATTTATTGTTTATTATTCGAGTCGATTTAGCTTCTTAAGTTTTTGGGTTTTATAGAAAAATGGGCTATGATTTAGTTAAAAATGTTGGCGCATTTATTGAATCGAAAAGTTTAAGTAGAGGGAAGAAATTAATTTTGACGTTAAGGTGTCATTTTTCACAACCAATCGCCATTTGCCCACCCCCTCAAAATATCGGTGGATACATTTGCTATGATGAACACAATGGTAACAAATCTGAAATCCATCAGAGAATTTAGGAACGCGTTTGGTAGAATAGTGGAGTCACCGATGAATACAAAAACAGGCCTTTTAGGTAATTTAGTGTACAGTAGGTTAATTATTTAGAACAAAAATAAATGGGAATTATCTAGTTTGATACCTAAGCGATTTTGAAAATCTAAGCGCATGTACACAGGTACGCTATTGCCAAAAAATATATTGAAAAGCAAAAAACCTAAGTTCCGTATATGGCGAAAATAATGACAAATATTTTTTTCTGTGACGGAAAAAACAACGATTTAATATTGAAAAAAAAAATATTCTAAAATATCTACCTTTACTTATGGAAAACTTTTTTATTATTGGTTTTAGGAAAAAAGTTATTCTTGATAAAAAGTCCTGCATGACCCAAAACTTAGAATACAGTCATCAGATATCAAATTTTTCAAGCCGTATGCGAGGTTTGTCAAAAAATATTAATTTTGCTTAATTTTGCTTTATTTTTGACAAAATCGAAAATTTTCATTAAGAAAAGTTGATTAGAATTGAAAATTACATTAAAATATGCAATTACACCTATCTATCAGAAAGATCAGATTTGGCATTGATCCACCTAATTACGGTAATCCATAATTTTTTCTCTCTCTACTCTACTATAAACATGATACGCTTTCCTTTTCTTGATGTTTGTGAAGAATTTAGCAATTTTCTTAATGAAAATTTTCGATTTTGTCAAAAATAAACGTACTTTACTCTTGAGCAAAATTCATATTTTTTTGACAAACCTCGTACACCACTGAAAAAATTTGATATTTAATGACTGTATTCTAGGTTTTAGATAATGCAGAACTTTTTATAAAAATTAATAATAATAAAAAATGTCCGTATGATTCCAACTTAGGGGGACATACTGTATATGAAGAGAAAAAAGTACTCACTTTTTTCCCGAGGAAACACTTTTTCCCCGGTGAAACACTTTCCCCGGGAAACGGGGAAAAAAGTAATTTTATAAAAAGTGAAATTTTGTTACTTGACAAGAGAGTTAAAATTTCAAACATTTTTCCCGTCACAATTTTTTTTTTTTTTTAATAAAATATTTTCAGGCACTATTTTTAAAAATATATAATCGATTTTCTTTCAAGTTAATTTTTGATAATTATTATACACATAGTTTAATTCATTTATAAAGATTTTCCTTGCCCTAATTTTTTTCTTTCTTAATCCCGGATTTGTCAATAATCACGTATTTGATCTTGTTACTAACTGAACTGAAACACTGTATGAAAACTACAAGATATGATTCAACATTTCTCAGAAAATTGTCGGTTTTTAGCAATCTTATGAAATGAATACTTTTAAGCATTAATTTTTTATTTCAGACATTCCTAATATTATACGGACCCTGTGTTTTTAAAAAAGTAGAAAATTATTTTTAATTGTACCGAAAGAGTAAGAAGCAGAGTGGAGATAAGCGAAAGAGATTATATTAAATGCTATGGTAGGATAATCAGATACAGAATTCGGGATAAAATCACCGGAAACCCAATACAACATCCAGAATGTCAGACAGCTTGTTAAAATTTGTAAGTCACAGGAGAGCCATTGTAAGAGAGGCGGTTCTCTTTAAAGCAGAAAATTGTATAAAATGTTTCCTTGATGATTGGGGGTCTGACAGGGAGGGGTAATATGCAAGTACTAGATGAGGCTAAATATCAAAGCAAGAAATACAAAAAACTAAGAGTTAGTCTTCAACAAGTTCAGCCATAAACAATATTTACTCTTTTTGGCATCTTATCAAAATGTTTATACGGAATAATCCAATAAACAATGAAACACTTACAGATGAGAAACTGACAGAAATATGGGAATTTATTAACAAAAAATCAATAAATATATAGGAATCGGTATCATACAAACCTTATGTTGTCGAGGCTCGTATAAATTATGTTATTATTGAAAAGAGAAGCATAACTCTTTGACAGGAACTTTGATTTGGTGCTCTATTTTTTTTAATTCGGAACTTTTTAAAATTTGTACTCGTCTCGTATAAAAGCAGAGATTTTAATAAAAAAAAAAGAGAACGTCTTGTAACACCAATCAGACAAGATTAATTCAAGAATTAAAAGAAATTTCATTATCACAAATGCTATCTAGCACATCACTTCGGTGATTTTCCACTGAGATCGGTTTTCGGCATACAAAGAATACACTGTCATACTCATACTGCAGCATAGATTGTGGATTTTGACAGTATTTAGTCTTTATGCTGGTTTCGCATTTTTCCATTTCAAAGCCAATTCTTTTTATGACCTGAAATAAATAACAACACAAACTCATATTTAGAATATGATTTGTTATTTTTTTATTCAGACGAAATTTTAAATATAGAGTATTCATAAAGTAAGGGGTATAATTTAAAGTCTTATATAATTTTAATAAATCAAGCTAGGCAAAAAGTAAATGGAATCTAGTTGCTTCAATAAATTTTGCTGTATTTATGGAAAAAAAAATATCGCGACAAATTGAGAACCTCCTCCTTTTTTGAAGTCGGTTAAAAATGAAAGAGTTGTTGTGTCAACTGATGATGCAAGTTTCAAATAATATAATCATCGCGATTTAGAGAATCGTTCTTAAAATAAAACTAACGTAAATGTGAAAATCGTCCAATTTTAAAACAGCTATTTACTACAGTCAAATACCATAATTGTAAAGAGTGACTCACATTTTCAACATACTCGTAGACCTTTGCAGGTCTGAGAGGAAAGGATATCAATGAGTCATAGGCGTGCGGTTATTATTAAAAATGATCTTCAGCATTTTAGAACGAATTGGTTGTCAAAAAACTTATTTTCCAATTTTAAAGATGGACAAGGTGTGGAAAACCGGCAATAATAATTATCGAATAAGTATATATAAATTCAAATGTATGTATATTTATTTTATATATCCATGTTATAAAATGTAATAGTCTTTTATTTTATTTATTTATTTACGGGTAAAGCCCAATTCAGTTTACATATAATAAAATACAATATAAAATAAAAAATACAATAAAATAGAATAGTGATATCATAAAAATTAAGTAAAATATAGAATAAAATGGTTAGATAAAACACTGGACATTAATGTACAGAACAGCAAATAAATTATAATGTGTATAAATGAAAAGTATGGAATTGCTTGAGACGTTGAAATATTCAGTGTAAGTAAGTGGTTCTTATATCCTTGAACAGAACTGTTAAAAAGTTGAATATCATGAAGAGAGTTAGCTAGTCTAAGTGTTCTAGGAATAAAAGTATTAAACGCATAATTGTAACGGTGAAAAGGTACATGGAATGTTTGAATTTGTCTAGTAGTACGTGACGGCACAAAAAGATTAATTCTGGAAAGGAGGTCGGGGCAATTACACCTGCCATTGATAATATTGGACAGTATGGTAAGATCTTTTCGCTTCCTACGAACTTCCAGAAAAGGTATGCTTAAATATTGTTGCAATTCAGCATAATTGTAGTAAATGTTAAACTTAAATGCTATGTATCTAAGAAAATTATTTTGAACTCCATCCAGTTTACTTTTATGAATTAAGTAGTGTGGGAACCAGACTGAGAGCAATAATCAAGTTGTGTCCTAACTAAAGAGAAGTATGGCATTTTAATTGTGTTTATATTAGTGAAGTCATGAGTTGTCCTCTTGACAAAGCCCAGCATTTTCATTGATTTTTAAACTGTAGCAGTGATATGGCCATTAAAGCTCATGGAAGAGTCAAAGGTTATTCCTAGATCCTTGATTTGATCGACAGGGTCCAAAACATGTTGAAATAAACTATAATTATAAGTTATTAAATTATGGCTGCGACAAAATCGGATAATGTGACATTTGTTAGTATTTAGATCCATGCCATTACTAGAGACTGCAAAATCTGAGTGTCGGCATAATCATGAATGATCTTGAAGCATTTCAAGTCATCTACAAACAATAGGGCTTTAGTGTTAGAAAAGCAAGTTGTGATGTCATTAATAAACAGGTTGAATAGTAGCGGTCCTAAGTGAGACCCTTGAGGGACACCGGAAGTAACTGGGAAAATTTGGGAATAATGATGATTTACTCGAACCTGTTGAGTCCTATTTGTTAGATAACTACAGAGCCACTGTAAGACAATCCCATCAATACCATACAAATTTAGCTTATGAACGAGAAGATCATGGTTTACCTTGTCAAAGGCCTTGGAAAAGTCTTCAGACAGAAAGTTAGCATATGTTAATAAGCTTAGTTCAGCAGATTTGCCTGGCGAAAAACCAAATTGTTGGGAATTTAAGATATTGGAGCAGTCGTGAGTTAGAAAATCAGTTATTATACTTTCAAAGATTTTTGGGATTGTGTTTAGGATGGAAATGGGGCCATAATTTATTACATTAGATTTGTTACCCGATTTGTAAATGGGAGTAACATAAGAGAGTTTCCAAAAGTCAGGAAATTCACCTGTGCTCAGTGATTTGTTAAAGATATGAAAAAGTGGCCTAGATAATGCAAAATTAAATTTTTTGAGGAAAATGAGTGGAATTAAAATCGGGACCTATTCTTTATTAGTGTCAAGTGTTGAAAGCTTATCATAGATCTTGGAAATTTGGATAAAATAAGAAGATACGCATGTTGCAGATTGGATTTCACTTCCATTTAAATTTAGCGTTTGGTTCGTGTATACAGAAGAAAAGTGACTAGCAAATAGATTGGCAATGTCATTACTGCAGGAAGGCACTGTATCTTTTGATAACATTTTGCATTGAGCTCTGAGTTGACTGAAATAATTGTAATGTTCAGGAGACTTAGTATATTTATAAGTTTTATGGGCTAACTTTTTATCGCGTAACAACTGTCTAAGCTGCGGAGAATACCAACAAGGAAATGAACTTTCACTGAAAACATTACATCGTAGAATATGCACACCATATCAGAAAGTTCTTTACCATGAAGAAGGCCATCCCACTCAATTGCGTCCAGACATTGGCGTATAGCTGATAAATCTGCATTACGGAAATCATAGTAGTATTCTGTTCCAGAGGGAATGTTTTTATCAACATAAAGCTGCAAAGTAGTTACAAGTGGGGGGTGATAAGAGTAGGTGGAATTAAAATGTCTACAGCATTGGAAATTGTGAGTTCATCAGTACTAAATCAAGAATTGCTCCCCTACTGTTGAGCACCCCGTTTGATTGAAAGAGGTTATGTAAGGCACATATATTTGAGACAACTTCAGTAGCGTCAGCTTCCGCAAAAGATGTGTTGTGATGTACAGTTGCTGAGGAACAATAATCTTCCACTTTCCAAACTGCAGACGGAAGATTATAATCACCAAATAGGTGGAACTTGGAGTTTGGATATTGTTCGCTTAAGTGTGTAATCTGATCAAAATAAGTTTGATAATTAGCAACAGGTGACTTCGGAGGGATATATAGTGCACCCAGGATACATTTATTATTTATGTGAACAAACAGCTGTTCAACTGATGCGTTGGACTGAATAAGACTGGTAGAAAGTTTTTTCTTCGTAGCTATTAGTACACCTCCCCCTCTTTCATATTTACTGGATTGCTGCGTGCGATCTTGTCTGTACACGTTATAGTTAGCAAGGCCAAGTTCATTATCATTAAAGCCGGCAGTAAGCCAAGTTTCTGTTAGAATGATAATGTCATAAGAACTATTTGAGGTATGAGACTTAATTCAGTTAATTTGGTTCGGAGTCCTCTAACATTTTGGTAGTATACAGAGAACTTGAGCTTGCCCAGGTCAGTATTCTTTAATGGTTTTTTTGGACGATCTTGGGTACATTATTAACATATTTAATTGTTAAATCCTGCTCACCTAAATTTTGTCGAACAGAGAGTTCAGTTCTTACTGATTCTAGGAGTTGTCTCTGATGGGTAGTTTGATCCAAATGAATGAACAGTTTCTTATTTCTAGTAACGTTTCGTTTATTTTTGAGTATCAAATGGACATCTCTAGTTGAAGATAAAATTACTTTGAGAGGACGATGCCCATTTTTGTTATTCTTGTCAAAACGAAAGATTTTCGTATCATTAATATTAATAGAGTTATCGGCATTTGTTAGAATAGATTTTACTTGCTCGACATCATCATGGGTATTGGGTAGTTCAGGAAGATTGAAGATAAGCAAGTTTTTTTCTCTTCTGTGACGCTCATTCATTTCATTTACGACTTCATCCATCGTGAAAGCGGGCGTGCTCACATTTTCCTTAAGTCTCGAGATGTCCTGTTTCAAAGATGTGACTTCAGATTTGAGAGTCTCCATTTCACGCAGAAGTTTGGGCACACTTATAAAACCGACAATCACTGCAGAAGAATACTAGAGATCTTTTCTGTATAACAACAGCTCGAAGTTCAGAAGCACATAAACCTGTGCAAGTTTCTGTCATGTGCATAGCTACGTGACAACTGTCACAAACGACAAATTTTTCAGCAAGGGTTTCCTTGCAGCAAGAACAGATGTTTACCATTTTCAACAATTAGTCTCAGACTATTAGATTCAGAGCCGCAATTTTATGCGTTTTCTCCTGGACTAAAGAAATAAATTCTAAGTAATTACCTTTATCAGCACACTGTTTTTATTGAGAGTTTTTTCACTTTTTATTTTTATTCCATCGACAGATAAATCAGTTAGATTTGATTTAAATATCTAAGTTTTATTGATATGGAGCACGACTTGTTGTATTGATTCTACTTCCACGGATAGGGTAATTAATATGTATTCACTGGAAAAAACAACGAAATTTTTAGGCACAATATAACCACTGATTTTTATAAAATATGAGGAACAAACTAAAACAGCACCATTAGCATCGATATTTTACACGATAATGATAGTAATAGTAATAATAGTTCAACATAATTGAATAAGTACTTATTTCCATAAAATATAAACAGATGAAAATTATCCATTCTTTTATTCTAATCTGAGTCGTCTATGTCATCTTCAGATTCATCAGTAGTATCTTCGCCTAGATCCACAACTACGGGTTCGATGGTAATTTCAATGAAGTTATCAATATTCCACATATTCTGCTCTTCTTTCACTACATGTTCGATACATTTTATCCACGACTGTGGGGTCTGTACTGTCAGGGATCTAGCAACATCGAAGTGTGTGACAAATGACAGAGCGCGGGGACATTCTAACCCTAGAGTCCAGAGCTTGATGGGCATGATCTTTTGTTAATTATTGATAATTTGATAACCAGTTTAAATACAAGTTTAATTCATATGTTCCTACTTATTTCTTTACCTCGATAACCAAACA